TAGCCTTTTACTTTTTACTTTTATTGGTCTTAGTACAATATTAGGGTTTTATACCGGCCTCTGATAACGGTGAGGATGGAGGAAGCCGAGCCGTTTGTGAATGAGCTCTGTAAATCCGACTGGTATTAACACTTCCTAAGAATGAATCATGAAGCTGCAAGCTTTAATTCTCTCCCTCACACACACACACACACACACACACACACACACACACACACACACACACACACAGAGACAGAAACAATCCCAGTCACTTTACACTAAACCCATTACAGCCACTTAACTCCTGAACCGCTCCAGAGACCGCAGACTCCAAGGGGACTCATCGCTCTAAACGCGCTGATTGAAGTGTGTATTTAAAGACCTCACTGCTCTTCTCCAACATAAAATATATATTCAAATGGAAAAAATGAACAGTGGATTTGACAGCATAATAACATTCAAGACCCTTTTAACATCAGAGTTGGACCTAAATTAGTGATTAAGATGTAAGAACCAAAGGGCCACATTTCTGTTTTTTAATTGAAACTGGAATTATTTATTTCTAAAGTAAAGTTATTTTTATGTCCTCAATAGCATAATAAACATACTGAATAGTAAAGTAGTCTAGATTTTGTAGAAAATGACTGAAATATAAATAGTGTCTTACGACATTTTAGATAAAAAATAATAATTTTGCTAAAAAGTCTCCGTGGATTTCTCATTGTAGATCGAAAAAAGGGAGTAAATTTCTGCCAAAAAATATAAAAATTTCTAGAAAAATATGAGAAGAAGTTTTTGAAAGGTTTAGAATAATCTTTTAAATTTTCTTGAACAAAACTTGGAAAGTTCTGAGTTTCAAAAGTCAAAACGTTTTGACTTTTGAAACATTTTCAACTTTTCAAACTCAGAAATGAAAATGATCTGCCAATGAAACTAATACTTTAAAAAAAACAATATTAAGGAAAAATGTATAACAAGCTCCTATTTCTGGCTGAAAAGTTGGTTGTAAGTTCGTCTTTTATCAGGTGAGCTAATATATTTGCACTATTGAGATAAGTGAAGTAACTCATGATTATATCATTATTAGTCCACTGAATAATTATAGTTTCCAAAAAAATATACATATTAAAAAAAAAGAAAAGTAAAATCCAGGAAACCAGTGACTGCAATGATCATTACAGCTCAGCAGAGGGCGCTGTTTCACATCCCATAAACATCTGAGCTTTAAGTTTAGAAAAGAAACATTTTAAAAAGTTGGAAAATATAAATTTTAAGTCAAATCCTGACTCATTTGGTATGTTTACGGTTATGTTCATGTGGAATAAACACCTTAACAGAGCTGCTGCAGGTAAATCCTCCACTGATCTCACTCAACAAGTTGGCTTTAAAGCAACTCAGTTATTTTTAGCAAATATTTAAAACATCTTTGATATTTTTCGTGTGACAGCCTGTTTCTCAGACTGAAATAACCAAAAGTATTCAGATGATTGCATTTTGGTAATCTGTTAATTGCTAACTGAACTCTAAAACAGTCATTTGCTGAACCCCCCCCCCAACATATTCAGAGCAGAAATTAGGCCAAAACTGAACAAAATGTAAATACATTTTGCACTTAAGATGGAAGCACCTTTGTCTGTAAGTATATTTTACTCTAAAATACTTACAGGTGGCAGGTTTAGCTTCAGATTAGTTAAGAAGTAGCTTAAATACAGCAGATAGTCCCATAAAATATTTGTTATTTATCAAATAATAAATAACAGCCAATAAAACATAATAATCAGGAGGATGTCACCGGGTTTTAACTGAAGTTTCACTGCGACCTGTTGGTGAAAGCAAAAGGGTGAAGTCCCAGCAGGACTCCTGCAACAATACTTGATAATTAGCCTTCTGTTGTGATCCGCTTTGTGTCTCCAGACTGTGACCTCTGACCTCTGTTCTCAGCCAGACAACAACCCCTCTCTGCTGGAGGCCCAACAGGCTGTGAGTCGGCCTGCTGAACGGTTCAAACTGTCACAGCAGAGAGGAAGATGACAAAGAGGAGGAGGAGGAGGACTGGATGCTGATTTCATATAATCAGGAAGAGTAAAAGCAAGAGAAGAAAGTAAACAAAATACCAAACACAACACAAAATGAGTGGTTTGGAAACTTCTGCTAACTGCAGAACATTAAGCTAACACTCAGGTTTTGCCAAACTGATCCTCTCCAGAGTTTCTCTGGAGAGGATCCAGAGATCCTCTCTTATCTAGAGGATCTCTTAACCTGCAGATAAGAGATCAGATCTCCAACGAGGTTCTTAATAAATTTGGCTAAAAATTATAAAGGACAAGATAATAAGCTGTTGGCTAATTGAGTTGGACTAAAGCAGACCCAACCCAATAAATCAATGCTAACACTGATTACCAAAACTAACTTTGTTGAGCAGAAAAACTTGCACTCACAATGCTAATAATGTAGTTGAACTGTAAGATAGATTTTCAACTCCATCATGTAGACTAAAACATTCAGACCAAATGAGAATGCTAATGCTGATTCACAAAGTTAATTATTTTGAGCAGAACAAGTATGCTAACTTCTAAAACCAAATATTGTGATGCTAATGCTTATGTTCTGCGACAGACTGGCGACCTGTCCAGGATGTACCCCGCCTCTCGCCCGGAACGTTAGCTGGAGATAGGCACCAGCACCCCTCCCGACCCCACTGAGGGACAAAGGTGTTCAGAAAATGGATGGATGGATGGATAATGCTTATGTTGTAGTAGTGTAGCAGTGTACCAAGCCACCACAAGTCAAAATAGAGCCAGATTATCAGAATATGCTTTAGCCAACTTCCAAGGCTGTGTGATTAGAAACTCTAATGCTAACATGCTTAGCCTAACCTCTGAAGCAAACTACTGTGAAAAAAAAGCTAATGAGGTTTTCAACTCCTTCAGGCAGACTGAAACAGGTCCAACGGACCAAAAGAGAATGCTAATGCTAATTCCCAAAGCTAATTACGGTATTTCGAGCAGAACAAGCATGCTAACTCTCAAAGCTAATTGTTATAAGACAGCCGTTTCTGCTACTACGTTTTAGTGTCTAAGAGACATTTTAGTGTATAGATGTTGTACAGTACATGACATAAAAAACTATAATTGATCAATTTAATTAATGAGAAATCTTCTGGACTGCTCTTACCTCTCAGTTACGTATCAAATATTTGTCTTGCTTTGCGTCATAGCTTGTTTTTTTGTTTTTTTTGTTTTAGCAAATTTCTGGAATCAGAATGTTTACCATTTCAAACTCATTTTTTCTTTGAGGATTTATCTTCTAACTTAGGCCTAATTTGTTTTTACAGCCAATTTTCTGGATAGATATAACTACAAGAAGGGATTGGTCTTTTCATCTTTGTCAACTCTATCTAGTAAAGTAATTTTAGGGAACTTTGATCATAAAGCTTCAAAACTGAAAAGTTTCCTTCCCAAAGCTGACATATTTAAAAAGCTGCCGTGGTCAGCATCTCAAGTTTCCAGCTTCAGATGGGAGGCAGATGTCAAAAATCTCATCTGAATTTATGTAAATTACATCTAAAGTTCACATGGATACACTAATATTAAAGAGCCTTTTTATTTTCCCCCACACCCTCCCACAGCGAGGCTTTCCCTGGTCCAAGTTTCCAGACGAGCTGAACGGCCGGTCTAGACTCAAACTCGTGTTTACAGTTTTATGTAAACAATCTCCAGGAAAAGTCAATTATAAAACCATTCTGCGTTCACGAGCCAGATTCCCCCTCCATCCCCACCAAAGCCAACAGAGCCGCTTGGCAAAGCTTGGGAAACTGAGCTGTAGTACCCAGAGATGGCAGCAGGAGGCGCCAAAGATGTAATTAAACAAGACATCAGAAACCGAGTAAGAAGCTTTGAAACTTTAGACTAGAGTCAGAGACATTTGAGTTAAAAAAAAAACCTCACTACATCAATTACTGGAAGTTTTTAGTGTGTGTGTTTGCGTTTTAAAACTTAAATTAAATATAAAAAATATCATAAAGCCCTTTTACCTTTTAACCCTTTTCTTGAATGACTGATTATTTTAGTCTGTAAACTAAATTTAGGGCTTCAGAAACATTTATTTAAAAAGAGCCTATAAACATGTTACTTCTTTGAAAACAGATTGTTCTAAGTGAAATGATCTACTAGAACATATCTTAGCATAAATACATGATGCAGGTTTTAATGTGTTACATATAGCATAAGTAAAAATAAGTAGAAATCTGCTTGAGACCAAGTTTGAAAGGATTAAATGTAATCTAATCTCCTTGTTAACTGATAAATTGCAAGAAATAATCTCAACATCCCCCTCTGTAGCTGCTCATCAGGATCTCAAGATGTTTCCAGGTAAGAACGGACAGATGGCTCAATCTTGACAGGTTTTGTCACTACTCAGTGCTCCTTTGGGATAATGAAGACCTTTTACTATTGAGAAGCAGTGACTCTACTTCAAACTTCAATGGGGTAAAATGGACTTTTTGACGCAAAGGAGCAGTGCCTCTACTTCCTCAACAGGAGCCCCTTCGATGTTGAAAAGCAGTGACTCTACCTAGAGCTTTAATAGGATATGATGCACTCGTCCATGTAGAGGACGGACCAGAGCCCATTCAATGTTGAGAAGCAAACTTCCTTGGATAACGGAGCCCTTTTGATGTTGAGAATCAGTGACTTCTCAGTGCATCACTTGGACAACGGAGACCTTTCAATGTAGAGAAACAGCAGCTCTACTTTGAATAGATAAAGTAGCTATTAGACCTTTTGATGCAGAGGAGCAGCAGCTCTAGTCCAAACTTTCCTATGATAATGGAGCACTTTCAGTACAGAGGAACAGTGACTGTACTTAGAGGTTCCTAGAGGCAATAGTCGCTTCAAAACAAAGGAAAAGGAGTGAAGCGGCATCTTCGTTGTTGGAAAATGTAAGACTTTGTTACTCTGTCCATTGCTCATTCCTGAAGAGGAAATCAAGATGTCAACATTAAATAAAGATAGAGGAAGTGACCATTTTCACCTTTTTAATGAACCCTGATTATTGTTTAATTACAAATGCAGATGAACAGATACAGAATGGAAACAGAAGCATGATAAAATAAAAAGCTCCGCCTCTCCTCCGGAGTGAAAATAACAAGAACATGAGAGGAGAGACGGAGAGGATAAGAAAAAAGGTGTCAAATAATACAAATGTTAAAAATGTTAAACAGTACAACACTCATTTTTTGTCCTTACAGAATCCACCATAATGAAAAATATATATACAAACAACTAAAAAAACAAAGTTAAAAAGACTTCTTCCCCCTGCTGTATGAGTTTTATCCAACCCTCCTCCTGCTGCTGTCTGCGGGTAGAAAGAGTGCAAACCAGTACAAGAACTCATAAACTGGGAATTCATGGGGAAGAGGTTGGGCCGCGGCACAAGGGTACGACATAATCATAAAGTAGTCATGTTAATAATATAAATCATTACAGGAGTAACAGTAATGCATGGAGGAAAGAGAAGAGGCTGTAAGGCAGCACAGGTCCAACAGTTCAGGTGGTTTAGTCCTGAAAACGTCTCCGAACGGTTTGGTGAAACAGGAATGAGGCGACGAACTATTTAAAAATGACAAATGTTGAGCCTTTTTCACAAAAAAGCTGGATGTTTGTAGACGGGGTAACCACAGAGCGCGCACACATGCAGAATGAGGGATTATGGGAAGTCCCTTGTCGCTCTGAGGTTTCCTCTGTGTGTGTGTGTGTTTGGGTGTAGTTTCTGCGACTGCGTAGGCGTCTAATGTCAGATGTGATGTCATGTTTCCCTTTATTGTAACCGCACTAACCAGGACGCTGCATGGTGTAGCTGCTCAAGTCTCAAACCAAACTCCCGACCGTCCAATCAGAGCGAGCCGCCGGATCTGGGTCGCCGCAGCTGCATCAGAATATATATTTATATACACATCTTTGCTATTAAAAATAGGAGGATTTAGCTAATTCGTATCAAATGACCATATTGAAATAGAATATCTGATTCTAATATATATTTGAATAAAATATATACGTTTAGTTTTACAAAAAGCCGAAGGCATGGTGGTTTTCTGAGAGATAATACATGTTCCTGGGGGAGAAAACTGACAAAAAGGCACAATTTTTTTTAAATCTGATTGATAAAATGGGCACAATCTCTTTTTATATGTTAAAAATATACTTTTTTTTTCATATCTCAGTGAAGGTTTGCCTGAGTTAGCCTTGATGCTCCACATTCATTATGTTTCCCTCCCTCCCCCAAAAGACAGTAATCAGTTTATCGTCTCTGCAAATGCCCGAAAAATACTGTCCATTTAAATCCAGAGGAAAAAATAAGTCTTTTTATTTTATATATATGTTTATATATATATATAAAAAAGATAGGAGAAGCTGATGATGGGTAAGGTTGAAGGCAACAACGCTGAAAATGCCCTCGTTGGCGAAACTGGAGAGGAAGATATAGTCTCTTCCAGACCAAACCAATCGATGCGTCTTTTCTTCTTCTGCATTTATAATCTGCAGTGACGGGGCGTCTTCCAGGCACTTCTAGAATCTCTGTACAGGCGGCTGATCTTCAGTAACATCAGGATCTGTCGGCTCCATGTTGGGTTAAAGAAGAAACATACAAGAACCGGAGGCGACTCCCAACGTCCGGTCGCCTACGTCGAACATTTATCGACTGGATTTGGGCACAATTGTGATCAGAAGTGGACCGAGAAAACTCTGTAGTTGGGTTAAAGTCTGAGTTTTAGTGTTAAAGAAGTGATGATGTGTCCCAGTGCCGGTCCGGCTGGATTCACCAAGCAAACACCATGATTTCTACATGATTCTGTGCCAACAGCTCGTTTTGTTCCCTGCTTTTCTCCGAACGGGTCGCTGCGTCACACGGAGGAAGATGATTTGTTCATTTAGCTCAATTAAAAACTTTTACCTAAACTGTCAAGTTAAAAGTAATTGAGGGCCATGAGATTGAGTTTTAAAACATTTTAAATTAGAATTATTTTAAATACTGCTAAATGTTAAATTTTTATCTGTGGGCAGATTTTGTATTTCTGCAGTGAACACAAAATTTATTAAAATAAAGAAATCTGATTTAATAGAAGAGGGAACTGCGACTTATTGTAGATCTGAAACATGAAATCTATTTTAAAAAATGTAAATTTTAAATGATTGTTTTTCTATTATCTTTGGATTTTTTGTTTATTCTGAGCAATGAAAACAGAAAACAGGTTCTCAGTCTTTAAAAATGTTTGCATTAAAGTGTTCAGTAAAAATCGCTAAATATTTGTGGTTCTATTTACCATAAACTTTAATTAAATGCATACTTTGTGTTGCACCTTCCATATTTAGGAGACTTTAAATATCTTTTTAAAAATGATTTGTTTAACTGCATGAACCTCCAACACTGAGCTGGAATATCAAGTTTGTGCGATTTTTTTGTATTTTGGTTGAGGGCCACACAGAATCACTTTGCGTGCCACAAACGGCCCTCGGGCCACACTTGAGACACCTGATTGGGCTAACTGAGGCCAGAATTTGTGAATTATTGCATGAATCTTCCTGCAAACGACCCAAACGAGTTCAGACAAAAGCAAAGAACAAAACAGTTGGTTCTGGTTTTTTAAAACATGATATGAAACCTGCTACGTTTACCAACGCCAGACTTTCAGATCGGTCCGAACGTCTAGATCTGCAGAACCTGCCATGTTGGGATTGTTTTTCAGCAGCCGGCGTTTTCCAGCGACAGCTGCGCCGTAGCTCTCTGCAGCTCGGAGCTTGCTCTGCGTTGGGTCGGCGCCGGCGGCAGCATCAGGCCCAGGATCACTCCTCTTCCTCCTCCGTTCTCCTCCTCTCCCTCTCTCTTCCCGTCTTCCTGCTCCTCCCCCTCTCCTCTCACTTTCTTGTCCTCTGCTTCTTCCCGGTCTCCGTCCGCCTCCATCCGCTGGTCTTCGCTCCAGCGGCGTTTGAAGCGCAGTTTGAGCGGGATGCAGCGGGTTCCTCCGGGACTGACGGGCGCCACCGCCTGGCCCGGCTCAGTCTTCAGGCCCATCAGCGGGAAGGCGCCGCCGCCGCCGGGAGGCGGAGTGGCGGGAGTTTTGAACACCTCTTCGTCATCGTCGGGGTCTTCCTCTGGATGAGGAGCGGATGGGCTGATGCCGCTCCCGTTCTTCAGATGGTGATGATGATGACGGCTGTGAGGAAGAGGGGGAAACATGTCTCCCTCCTCATCCTCGCTGTTGGGGTTCAGCTCATCTTCTTCGCTTATGTCGGTCACCTCCACGTCTTCCTCGGACAGGTCGGAGACCGGCTCCACCTGCAGGCGAACGACAGATCAGCGATAAAAACAGAATCTCAGAGTTTTTGATTACAGAACCGATTTTAATAAAACTTTTTATCCATTTGTAGCTTGGCCCTAGTATCGTGTTGTGACCTCAAAATCCAAATAAACAGAAGCTGTAAAACATGTTTGCGAAACAAGATGGCTGCCCTGGGCGTGCTGACATCACTCTGAGCTACGGAAACACGAGGTGTGCATCAGTTAAAAAAGTGTCTTCATTTGTATAAATTACAAAAACTAATAATTGTATTAATATTCCAGCATTACTCTGAGATGCAACCAAAGCCGACTCACCTTGATCTTCGGCGGCGCTCCACCCACAGCAGGCCCGACGTTCGGACCAGCGCCGGTAAACGAGGAAGCGTGGTTGGAGGAGGAGGCGGCGGCGGCCAGAGAGCTCCCTGCCTCCCTCTGCTTGCGGCCGAGCGGCGGCGGCTGCAGCTTGAACTTGAACGGCGAGGCGTGCGCGTCGTCGGCCTGCTGCTGGCTGAGCGGCAGCGGCATAGGCGGGGCCTGCAGGTGGTGGGGGGCAGGTTTCTCCGGGGTGGGGCGGTGTGGCTGGGGGACGACGATGTTGGGGTAGTGCAGGAAGGCCCGGGGGCTGAGGTGGTAGTTGTAAACGGACTGGGTGTGGGCCTGCAGGTAGTGCTTCATGTCCTCCGGGTTGAAGGAGAAGTGGGAGCCCATCATGGGGGACGACAGGGAGGGGGACGGGGTGTAGGCCAGGTGGGGGGTGGGGGTCATGGACAGGGCGGGGGACAGCAGCCCTCCAGGCCCGGGCAGGGGGGACACGGGGAACGGGGACAGAGGGTCGGCGTGGACCCTGGGCGCGGGCCTGGGTAACCCCGCTGGGGTCGGGTGACCCCCGTAGAACCTGAACAGGGACTCGTGAGGCAGGCGGGGGGCGAGGAGCCCCCGGAAGGCCCGGTCGGGCCCGATGGCGCGCTCGTCTGCCGCCGCCGCCTCCTCTAGCTCGGAGTTGGTGGAGGTGCCGTCGCTGCAGTCGCTGACGGAGCCGCGGGCCATGCGGCGCGCCACGGTGCTGAACACGCCGGGGCTGCGCAGCTCCTCGCTGGAGGACAGAACCTCCGACGGGGTGGAGGGCGGGAAGCGGAAATGTGTTCCTCCGGTCGGGACAGGGGGCGCGCTCTGAGGGACTCCACGACCTGCGACGAACAAGAGAACAGTTCAGACTCACTTCCTGTAGCGGTGGACGTTTATAAGCAGTAAACTGTCCCATAACTTATCACGATAAATCATAATGTTGTTGTTTTGAGACCACAAGATACGGCCATGGTAATAACAGTAATGGTATAATAACCATTATCGTTATATTAACGGTAATAGTTGTTACCGTTCTCAGAGATCAATAAACTTTAAATTCAAATTAACATTTGACACCGGAACTGGAAGACATTTTAAATATCCAAAATAAATAAAACAAGACAACAAAATGAATAAAATGAATTATGAAGTCTCAGTAAACAAAATTGTCCTTCAAAAGAAGTTTTAGTTGAGATCAAAGCACCAGACTGATTCCTTCCTCGTTTTCCCAAGACATGGAGAGGATGGTCAGGGTTGTCCATAGTTTTCTTAATTTTATGAAGAATCTGCCTTTGCATCATCATGTCCAGAAATACGGTTTAATTTCCACAGTCGTCTCCAGAACAGAACCGGCTTCTATATCAGGTTGTTGAGACTTTTTAGGTCCCTTGCTCTGATGCTGTGGCAGAAGAAATGACGTTCTCAACAACAAACTTGTGGAAGATCTGCAGCATCTTGCTGCAAACCTCGACGGGTCTTGGCTTCCTCCAGACGCTCCGTTTCTTCTTACAGACGCTTCTCTGCTGCGTTTCCAGTCCAACCTGTTGTCCAGATGAACACCGAGGTATTCATCTTCCTCAACCACCTCCACTTCTTCTCCCATGATGGAAATAAGGTTTGATTTAACCGTCTTTCTTCTGAAATCTACAATCCTCTCCTTTGATTTGTTTACATTCAAGATGAGAGGAAGAGGATTCTTATGTTTTCTCTTTGACTATAAGCCTTAGAAGCTGAGAGGAACCAAGAGTTTAGGCCGAGTCCTGATGAGCTCCTCATGCCTCCCCATTCTGAGCCTGTGGCACTGCAATAAATTCTTGGCATCTGAGCACATGCCGGGATTAAATATTGGAAAAGTCGACCCGACTGCCATTACAAACATGGGCTGGGTTCCTCAGTTTTTTTTTCCAGCGCCTGTCGTTTAAAAAAAGAAAAACACATCTGTGCCATGTGTGTCAGGAATGACGGCTGGAGGAGAAGCTGCAAGCGCGTACGAAACCATCGTATCACAACATGTCAGTGTGTGGGCCACATCACACAGAGGCTATAATTAAAGTTTCGTGCTTCGCTTATGTCACCCGGTCTCCAACGCTCCATATGGGCCGTGTTTACGCTGGGTGGCCGGACCCAAAGCGGCTGCGCCCCACGGAGGAGGGGAAAAGCGCAGACGTGGCGCTGGGGTCTGGAGACGCACGCGGTCGGTTACCGGGCAGATTAAGACGAATGTCAGAGAGCAGCACAAACGCCTCCACACCATCAACATGTTTCTGATTTGTCCCACTAATGAAACAACATCTTCAGGGGGGATTTTTTTCTGGCAAACTGAGCCTGTGGAGAAAAAAGCTGCTCAACAGCTACCTCTAAAGGTTGTTGGAAACAAGAAATAAAACTTAAAACCTGAAATCTGAGTCAGTTTTGACAAAAATGAAGCTTAACATCCACTAAAAAAAACTTTTTATTTGGCTCCTCATTGGCTCGTATTTTCTCTCCTATTACAGCAGAAAGGTCCAACAACGGTGAAGCTGAAACGAGAATATTTCAGCTAAAACAAAAAAGGTCTTTATAACTCTACCTATTAGAGTAATAAAGGTTGTGACCCCTGCCGTTAGACGACGGAGTGAGATTTATTTGTCCCATTAGCTGTAATTGAATAACATGCTTGCTTCTCTTTTCCATGTTTAAGAGTGGTTAAGAGAAAAGTGACATCATGTTTATGTCCAGGTTGTCATCCCTTCTTGAATTACATCCTGACCTGTAGCCTGAGCTCCAACCATTATACCATTTAAATTGAAAAAGCGTTTGTATTTTATTTTTACATACAATAATTAAAAAATGTTTCAGAAATGTGAAACTTTGAAAGAATTTCTCTTTCGTGTAAAACATTTAAGCTCATGTTTGATGAGCGTAATGGCGGTGCTCAAAGTCAGTTTTGATTTATTACAAACGGTAAAATATCTCTTTACAGTAATTTATTTCAGTGCTTATTCTGTACACATCTGTGGGTGGCTACTTCCAATTCAGTAGACAAATAAATAAATAAAATCAGTAGCTGGGCCACCCCCAGTGATACGCTACCCTGGGCAATGAGCCACATCAGAAACCACCAATGTTATCATGTAAGGGAAAATGGGACTCATGGATGTAAAAAACTCTGAGTGGCTTAAATAAAAATTAAAAGAGGCATCAATTATTCCTAACTACTGTGGGTATTTCACATTCTACTCTCATCTACTCTTCTTACAGTTTTTGTTTTTAAACTGCAGCAGTAAACTTGCTTTAAAGACTTTTATGTGTCTTTGCCAGAGGTGCCAATAAATGTACAGTAAAGGGTGTAGTAAATGCAATGTAAAGGCAATTAAAAACAACAAAGCCAGTCTGCAGTTTTTTTTTTTAACTGGATTTTATATGATCCAAAAGTTCCAAACTATTTAAAATATGCATACAATAATAAAAGTTATGCCATTTTCAAAAACAGGGTTAGAAAATGAATCAAAAAGAAGAAATAATCTTATTTTTGTGTCATCTGTAACCATAAGTACTCTGAATCCTTTGCATCCATTTCCCCAATAAAAGTAGCAGATGTTGGAATATAAAATAATAAAAACGTGCATAAAAACAAGAAAGCTTAAAAGATTAAAATGAAACTGAATAATCTATAAAACCTGAAAGATCACGAAGTTGAACATCGGATGAGTAGAAGGTCCAACAGCTGGATCTCGTTTTTCATGTTTCATATTAAAATCCGACACAAACCAACAGAACCTTCCCCAGAAGGAGGTGCAAAACTTCCCTTCCTCGCTGTGTAAATCACCTCAGCGCCCTTTAACACCGAGCGGCCAGCAGTTTTCACGTTGCTGCGAATGTGTACCTACCAGAGCTGCCCATGTCGATGAAGGGGTAATTGACGAGCACCAGTTTGTTGAAGTTGAACTTGTAGGTGAACCTCTTCCCTTTGGTCTTGTGGAGGATCCGCTTGTTGTAGTAGTATCTGTGCAGAGAGAGGAGGACAGGAACGTGTCATCACCTGCAGGTTATGCACTATGGAGCCAGATTTACTGAAGTTAGCTGCAGTTTAAATTCATCATGTGGAAATGGAAACCTTAGGAGAGACTTTCAAGCTTATGCAACACATTGGACATATTGGAAATTAAATGCAGACTTAGAAGCTACTCTCAATGCTACTTGACACACCATTTCCTGGTGTTTGTAAATGCCAATCCAGCAGCTTTATTTATTTTCTTTGAAGCTGATTGGCTGTACCCCCCAAGAGTGGGGATAACTTAGTCTGAATTAATTAGCTTCTACAATATCAAACCAATCAATCGAAATTTTATTTTTCTAGCACATTTCAGCAACAAACTGCTTCACATCATAAAAACACAAAAAATCTTGGTCAGCGTTTCATTTATATTGTTTCAAAAGCAACTCTAGTTTTTAGTCTAGGAACTCAGCGTTTCGGCTGTTTTACAGTTTTCTGGACGTTTGTTCCAGATTTGTGGTTCATAGAAGCTGAATGCTACTTCTCCATGTTTGGTTCTGGTTCTGGGGATGCAGAGCAGAACCAGAACCAGAGCGGTCTGGAAAGTTCGTACAACACCAGCAGATCCTTAATGTATTTTGATGCTGCACCATTCAGTGATTCATAAACTAACAGCATTTTAAAGTTTATGCAATAATGCCAAGATGGTTTCTAATATGTGTATTTATGCATGCTGAGTGTTTGAATTATTAAAATAAGCAGTTATAATTTTTTTTTTTTTAAAGTTTTGCTGTGTCAGCAGCTGTTGGTCTCCAACTCTCATGAATACTTGAGGTCCACTGTAAAAATTTAAACATTTTTATTAACATATTGTGACAAATTTGTCACAATATGTCCTCTTTAATATTTATATTTAAGAGGACATATTATGCTTCCTTTTAAGTAAGTTAGGAAATGTCTGTGGGTTATAAAAACACAGTCATTCTCATACAATGAGATTTTAGCTCCTCAGTTCTGCTGTTTATGAACTTCCAGAATGAGCCGTTTTAGGGCTCTGTCACTTTTATGCAAATAAGCTGTTGCTGGCCACGCCCCCAAGAGCCCTTTAGACTCTTGAAAATGGCTGCAAATGGCTGTAAAACCACACGTTGATGCTGAAGAGGCACAACCATCAAGGATGCAGCAGAGGTTTCTGAATGTTAAGCAGTAAAACCAACTGACCAATCGGGCTCGTCTTCAAATATTGAAGTGGGCGGAGCTCCGCTTTGGTTGCTAGGTAACTGGGCTCTAACCAGTTACCTAGCAACTGGACTTAATCAATGGGTTTTTGAAACGGCTTGTTTTCAGACAACAAAACCCATCAACTTATTGGTAGGAAATGGTTACATGGAGTTGTTTTTAGTGTTGAATGGTTTCTAGAAGCAGTAAAGACCAGGATAGAAGTATAAAAACAAGCAAAAAGTGAATTTTCCACATAGATCCTGCAATAAACTAAATTATTTTTTCTTAATAGAGTCCCACCACAACTTAAAACCTAATTAGAAATTCACTAAAAATGACCAGTTGTCATTTTTTCCAAAAGGTCATGTGATATTTGTGGCTGTAAGCAATTTATAAATCTGGATTGAGGGTAAAAGTGACTCTTTGGATCGTAAAGGTTGTGAACCCCTGATTAGAGGCTCGACACTTTGCTTTTCTCCACGTGCATGAAAGCACAGACTTATAAAACATCGTCAAAGGTTCTTTGATGCATAAATAGGAATAATAATTCCTTCCTTCCGTTGTATTCAAAACTACAGCCTCCATCAACGATACTGCAGAACATTTCTTTTCTCTTTTATGCTACAATCCTTAGAATAAAACCCCACACAGACCATCAGGTGGGTCAGCTCTCAAAGAAATAAGCCAGGAAAAGCCTGTTTGGTGCAGAAAAGAGCAAACACACCAAACAAAATGGGTAAAGATACAATGATGCACAATGAGACTGATCAATACAGCTTAAAGAAACAAAATGCTGTCAAAGGAGGGGAGTTCTTGATGGAAAGAGTGATGTAAACCTCCATAAACAGGCCGCTTCCTGACTGAACACAACGCTTCAATTCAAAGCCTCACTGTGAGCCTGAAGGAGGTGAGACATCCATTCAGATTTAGTCTTATCCAGGCGGCTCCATTAGTAGGAGTGCATTAGTCATCGTCAGCACACAGAGTGATGCAAAGAGTGAATAGGCAGCTGCTGACAGCTCCTCCAAAAGACCAGAAAATGGCTCAGTGTGACTCACCAACAGCCACATTCATACTTCTTTACACAAAAACAAGTAAATCGTAGAGCCTCATTCAGCAGGGACCGGCGACTTCATTCTGGGAAATGTAATACGTATCATTTCCAGTTACATGAAGCACAGAGGAGCTTGGTGGGTGAATCTGCACATGGATTTAAGGATGGATATCTGGTTCACACTGCAAAAACACAAAATCTTACCAAGTATTTTCTAGTGCAAATGTTTTATTAAACTTGAAATAAGACAAAACTGACTAACATTTCAGCAAGATAAAGGGGCTTGTTTCAGATCAATAATTCCTTATTATTGATTAAAAGAATGCTACTCCACTGGCAGGTTATAAAACTGAAAATATCTGCAGCGGAACTAATACTTTTCATTAGGACTGGATTAATTGTGATTAATCGATTATTGAAATAATCGTCAACTAATTTAGTAAGCGATTAATCGTTAACATACTTGAAAAATGGCTATTTGCTGGGAAACATACAAAATATTACATTTTGCATTTAATATGAAAAATATGTAAACCTGTTCAACCCAGAACTCCTCAAATGCCTTTTTTTCCCCACTTTGCATGGAAAAATATCTCCCATTATGCCAATTCAAATATTAATCCCAAAAGAAACAAATTAGTAGACAGTATTTTTATTTTTTGCAGTGCAGGCTGAAAGAGATTATAAAAGCTTGTATAACTGCGCCCTATGCACCAATCAATTCATTTTTACACATCCATCCATCCATAAAGATCAATACTATTATTTACGGACACATGCGTAACAAATATTCATTCTGGCACAGGAAGAGGGATGATTCATCTTCAGGAAACTGAAGGTAAACATGAAGAAACGACAACTTGAGGTGATCGGTCACATTAGGAGCGACGGTTACAGAAATCACACAATGGTGGGGATATGAGTCATTCTGCTCAGGCTGAATCCAGCGTGGACACGATATTCGTCACGGGAGTTTTTCACAAAGGAGGGAGAAAGCAGGGGCTCGTCGAGCCCCTCGGTGACTCAAAGAGTGAAGGGCCTCTTCTGAAAGAAACGGCTGCAATGAACTCCCACACTCTCGCATGGAGAGCGGCCGCACAAAGCGGCAAACGGAGAAAACCGGCAGGAACTGTGAGCAGGGGAAGTAATCAGATCATGAAGAGCTGAGGTCATTTAATCACTCAGGAACAAACAGGTGGGTACAGCAGGCAGGCCGCCTTCATCAGTACTGATCAATAATAAGAGACAATAGGAATCCTGATGATTGCAGGTGTGGATCTTCCTTCCTAGACGATTCCAAGCACAAATGTCTGACTTTATAATCTTAGAAAAGATCTTGGAATCAATATCGTACATTGACGCTTTAAAGTTGTCTTGTTTTGTTCTTTTTTGCAAATTTCAACATTTTGACAAAGATTAATCTTGAAATCTAGGTTCTTTTTAATTCAGTTTGAAATGTACTCCTCTGTGACTATATTGTTTCTTTTTTCTTTTATCTAGAATAATCTAAAAACTATTGCTGACATGATAAATCTGAAGTAATTGTCAGCTAATTTAGTAATCAATTAATAGTTAACTAGGGAATGGAGACTCAAAAGGAGACAATTTGATGAAAAAACAACATTTTTAAGAAATTCTCTTTACAAAGTTCAAGTCTTCATCAGAAAAATGGCTTGAATGTAGTGAAATGTTTAGTTTGAGATGTTCAGCAACGTTAAAACATTTAGGGCTGAAATGATGAGTCCGATTAATTGTGATGAATCAGTTATTGAAATAATTGTCAACTTATGGTATTGATCAAAATGTGAATTGTGAGTCTTTTTATAGAACGGTGATCAGGCAGAAGATTGCAATCTGTACACTCCTACATACTTGCACAGACTGCACTCCTAGTAGGTTGTCAACAGGTAGTAGGTAGTTGTTAACAAAATCAGAAAGATTTGTAAACTTCTGGATGAAGTAAATATTCCAGCTGGGACGTGGTGAACCACTCAATGTGAATCTAAGCAGAGCACATGGAGGACATGTGGTGAATCCTTTCCAAACAGTAAACATCTGGGTTTTAGCAAAGGTGCAAACCGGAGCAGAGTTGTGAAAGAAGCAAACACCAGGAGGAAGCAGGCGAGTTTAAAATGCATTGACACACGCCTCTTCTTATCAAATGTCTTTGTTTAAAATAGACAGAGGAGTCATATTTCATCCATAAAATGCAGTAACATAGCAACACGTGCATACTGTACATGCATGAATGAAAGCACACGTGTGCACCACTGCTAGCTCACTTCAAAAGACGAAGAGAAGCATCAAAGATTAAAGGAAGTTTCTTCAAACGACGTCAGAATCAATTAACGGCCTGCGGTTCGTATAAAAGCTCCAGAAACCACAAGAAAGAAACTCGCAGAGTTCGGTTCCAGCTTGTCGTTGATGTGAAACGCTCAGATCAGAGAGAAAGTAAGACTTCATCTTTAAAACCGATTGTTTACGTGCTGATAAAACTTTAGATGTTCTGAAGAGTCTAGGACAGACTGACTTTCCAAATACAAGCACTGACAGTAAATACCACCTTAATGTCCTGCAATCAGTGCTCCAAAGCACCAATTAATTAGGAATTTATTGTAAGTGGCCAATTTTCCCAGTGACCAGCAATCAGCAGGTCAAATACAAAGAGACGTTAGATCCCATCCAAAACTGAAACATTTCACTTCTTCCTGTACTTTAAAACAGCCTGCATCTTGTTTCAGTCAGACAGATTATCTAGCAATTTATGGCGCATTTGTGTTAATAGATGCCAGACATGTTTGCTTATTTAAACTATCCATTAAGGTGAAGCTTTGTTTCTATATCTGAAATGTGCTATACAAATAAAATTAGATTGATTGATTGATTGATTGATTGATCTGTATGTAAAAACGCCCCACCAGGTTCATGGAAGTGCCTGAAACCTGAACATCTCTGCTCTTCATTCATGCATCGTGTGGTTTCAGATCAGTCCAGATAGTTTAATTTTTGATGCTAAATCAGTGCATCATGAATTGCTTAAATTTAGAATCACATGTATGAGAAATTATGTTTTTTATAAATATTTAATGGCATAAAATACAATTTTCTTGCAAGAAGAAAGTTCATAAGCAGACAGGACAGATGGGCTGGAGGAGGACTGACACGGGGCAGGGTGTTAAGAGTGTGTGTGTGTGTGTGTGTGTGTGTGTGTGTGTGTGTGCGTGACTGTGCGTGTGTGTAAATAAGGATGAGAACATACTGGTGGCTAAATAAAACCCAGCAGCATCCCACATGTGCTCCGCAGTGGGTGAAGGTGTGTGTTTCTAAATTGGCCGTCACCCTGGAGCTTCGGCGCGGAGAGCAGAGGCTGCTTCAAAACATGACAGGACCTTTTAATTACACAACACAAACAGCCACCACCACGACCCAACACAACGAGAAAAGATGGAGAACAAACCTGAAAACCACTCCTCTCTTTCCCAGGTGGCCTGCAGCTTTCAGGTCAAAGTTTCATCAAAGTTTCGTCCTTTTATTTATGCAAATTTCTGGAGTTTTCTGTCCTTTTAGTCAATTTTTAACAATAAAAGTGTAGCATGGACCAATGGAAGATGTTTCTACAGACACAAATGTAAAAGAGACCAGAGAGGAAGAGTGAGGGTGAATAATGAAAGGATAAAAAAAGGAAGATGAAGGGATGACTAGACAAAGAGACACACGGATAGACTGATAATTGGACGGACCGAGAGATAAATGGACCAAGGGGTTAGGTGGGTGAATGGATGGATGGAGATAGACTGACAGATACACATAAGGAGTTACGGAGAAACTGATAGGTAGATGGATGGATGGATGGATGGATGGATGGATGGATGGATGGATGGATGATCATGTGGATGGATAGATAAAGAGATGGATGGAAGGATGAAGGGATGATGCCTGAATGGCAGAACAGATTTAGACGAAGTCTTATCTCGATCTGGAAAACACTTCAGCTAAATGCATATATGTTCACTTTCACGTAAACATATGCATTTCTTTTTATTTTCTACAGTTTGAAGAGTAATACTGAAATATAGATCTTGAAATAAAGATCAGGATCTGATTTCTGCATGAAGGACAGGTGTGCTGAGGAAGGATCTATGAAAAGGTGTCCATCTCAAAGCAGGCTTGTCTAAACACTGACTTAGCCGCATTTTAAGCTCATTTGAAGCATGTTTCTTTTACGTTACGCAAAAGTCACATTTTCCAAATTTTTATACTTCCATTTGGGTCTCAACTGCTTCTTAAAACAACCTAAACACTAAAAATAAACAGCCTGTTTCTTGGCAGTGAATGGATGTTTTTTTTTGGTGTCTGGAAAATGAGCTGTTTCAAAAATGTCCCAATTGTTCAGTGGCATTGTGCCTTTACCTAGCAACCCCAACCCGTTACCTAGCAACCCCTGCCCGTCACCTAGCAACCCAAGAAGAGCTGCAGGACATTTGCTCAGCAGGTTTTATGGCTGCTAGAAAGGACAAGTGTTTAGTTGTTGACTTACCATCCAGAAACCACTTGCTGAATTCTTGCTGACTATGCAGGAGGCTCCACTCCTCCTTTTCAAAGATGTACGGTTGTAAAATTGTACATCTAATTACAGTCATTTTCACGTAAAATTGTAAATGTTGAATTGGGGGGAGGGGACACATAAGAGGCCACCTTTAATTTAAAAAAATTATTTAAAACCTTACTGGAGAGGAGAGAAAACTATCTAAACATGCCTGCAGAGTAAAGTCGAGTCTGAACTTCTTAACCAACCCGAGTTCTGGTGAATTAAAGAAGAAAAGGCAGAAAGCTTCACCTCAGAGCCCGACTCAGCTTGTCATAGTTCATCTGCGGTTTGCACTTCCGGGCCCCCCACAGGCGGGCCACCTCGTCCGGGTCCTTGATGACGAACTCGCCGTAGTCGCCCTGCCAGGCGATCACATCGTTGTACTCCTGCTTCCTCAGCAGCTCCAGGATGAAGTGCCACAGCTGGATCTGCCTGGAGCCTGGGCTCGACTCCGGCTTGTAGGCCCACTCCGGGAAGGCGAACCCTGCCGGACAAACACAGAAAAAAACATCTTAGTGATGTTTCACCACAGAAAACACTTCATGTTCAGTTGCAGGGCTGGACGATAAATCCAGTTTTGGGTTTTTGAAGTTTTTATTTTTGGAAAATCTGGATTCCCTCCCCATCAATGTTGTTTGGTTTCCATAGTTTAGAGTGAAGTCAGCACATCCATGGCGGCCATCTTGTTAGACAAGCATGTTTTACAGTTTCTGTTTATTTGAACTTTGAATTCAGGTCAACAATGACGATGAAAAGGAGAATAAAGTGGTAATTTTAAGAGAACATAAAAAAAAACAACATAAAATTAAAATGAGGAATGTTGAGCATATTGTGAAGTTCTACAAGTTTCACAAATAATTCTGAGTAGAAATACTTCCTCTGTTATCACATCAGCATCAAATCATTATCAGGACTTTGAAATGATTATGTAAAACAGACTATTTCGAAGAAAGAACCACAAACTGAGCTGGTCATGTCAAACTTTTTTTTCTTGTAATTTTTTTTCCTATACATTTTTTTTTGCTAATATTGTGCCTATATTCTTGTTAATTAAGTGAACTGGCTCTGATACTCCACTGTATAAAACAGAAAGAACGATGGAAAAACTACTTTTCTGTCATCTGTAATTTCTTTCTTAGAAAACGAGCAAAATGTAAACCCCAATCATTGTCGCCTCAAGCTGCAGCTGATGATCACTCCAGTTGAATCCGTTCCCACAGACGGCCGATGTATCAAACCACTGCCCCTATCAGCATCAAAGCTGGAAAATCAACACTGTTTTAAGAGATTATCAGGCCTTGAAACACGAGCAGACTAAATATGAGATACGGCCTGATAACTACTATCAGGACACACTCTGCGAGCCACACACTATTATGCAAAGGTTAAAAGTATGGGCTTCATGCTGCAAGCGCAGTAAAAGACTCAACACTACTTGTGCAGAAGGCCAGACTGAAAGGCTGGAGAGCGGAGCCGTAGTGACACACACACATACGCACGCACGCACACACACACACACACACACACACACACACCTTATTAGGACCAGATGTGCCTTGGCAATCAGGCTGAGAAAACTCAGGCTGGGAAACATATGGGCACAATATAACAAAGCTTAATTCTCTCTCTCTCTTTCTGTGTGTGTGTTTATGCAACTGCTGTAAAAAATCTTGCTCGTCTAAATACCAAGATTACAATTTGTTTCCCACACTTTAAAGCCCCTTGTATGTGTGCAGCGGCGGCGTACATGGTCACGGCCGCCACCGCCACGCCGTCGTTCTGCGTCCGATTGATCACAGCAGGATGATGCAACACGACACGCCTCAATGTATGCGGTCTTTACCCGAACACGCCATATGATGCAACTGTACTTTTTACTCCTTTTATCCTTTACTGCTTTCTGCGTTTGATAGGAGGAACTTTATTAAGTTGTGGAAGATCCACAAAAAAAACGTAGACGAAAAACAGACGTGAGCTCCTAACTCTGTATTTTACAGGAAGTCTGGACTGTTTAACACACGTTTTAGGAATATTTACTTTTCTCGAGCTCTTCTTAAAATAAAATTCACTTTTTTAGTCCGACATAAAGAAGTGGAGCTTTCAATTAAAAACGAAACCTTGAAAAGTGGGGTATATATTCATATGTTGCCACCAAAATAATATCCAGTGCAAACAATCGCCTTCAAAGCCAGCCAATTAGTAAATGGGCCCAGCTGTGTCTTAATTGAATCTCAGAATAAATCCAGATTTTCTGGTTCTGGTCTCAGAGGTTCTTTAGCATCATAAAGACCAAAATTCAGCAGACACTCCTGGAGAACAGGAATCCAAGCAGAACAAAATAATATATATATTTTTTGTATTGGGGTTTGTGTAACTGTACCATGCTGTCACAGTCATACAATTACACTAAAAAATAAAAGTAACAGTTCATTTCATCACTTTCAATTGCTATCCAAACATTACCACAAAATAATGTGATAAAACTTTAAGTCAACATCGACTCCCTCTCAAACGGCACCACTCCCTCCCTGCATCCTCCATTTTGGTTTTACAAAGCGTCATGAAGAGAGCGCCACCTTTCTGCAAATAACCTCCTCCGTGGATGACAACATTGCAATTTACATTCACTGTGTGCAAATATTGCAAGCAGTGATGCCCAGTCTTCCCTGGTATTCGGTAAAAATCAAAATTGAGTCCAAATGTTTGCCTTCAACACAGATTGAGCCAGATGAATCTCTCTCTCTTTTTTGTTTTCGCTTTATTGTGTACAATTAATCAAAATATGATTAATTCTCGACAAATGGTTTATAAGATTAAAATTACTTCCAATTGATTGATTAATATCCTATGCTTAGACCTTTTTTAATGTTGTAATCTGGCTGCCAGTTAATACAGAAATAAAGGTGGCGGGGTCATACCAGAATGGGATGCGAATGCACTTTATGCAGTTCTGTTCTGAAATATAAACACTCAACAACCTCCTTAAGTTTCACTTTAACACAACTCAAGCAGTGTCAACATATGGAAAGTTTTACCCTTTACGTTACGGAAAGGCGGTTGGCCCTCTAGATACAAAAGAAACTCAGGTTTTTTAAGTAAATGGCCACTTATCAACTTTAGATTAACTGATAATTTGCACCCCTAATTATATATGTACTTCCCAGTAACGTCAGATGTCCAGCGTAGCAACAAAATGGCGGTTGACAAACAGCGAATTTGTTTTATTTTTTAATTAATTCTGAATCATAGTAAATGAGAATCTGAATTCTTTTGTGAAATAGGAGTGTGCTTTTCTTGGCACACTCCTATTTTTAGTGTTAGGATGGTCAAGTCAAAGTCCAAACCTAAACACAATTAAGAATCTGCAGCAAGACTTGACTACTGACCCTCACTAGATGCTCTCCATCCAATCTGAGGTCGAAAACATCTCTACCTGTAGAGACACCATAAAAGACGTACAGGAGAGGCGGCTCTACAAACCAGAATGAGCTGAGTCACCTCAGAAGGCAACTGGCTGATTTTTTATAGGACAATGAGAGTAAAGTATCACTTCACTTCAAGGTTGTACTAATTTGTGTCGTTTTATTACATAAAACACACAAAAGCTTTTGCTTGCAAAAAGATAAAGTACAAAAAAGTTTAAATTGCAGACCTAGTTTTTCATTAGAAATGAGTTTGTGTTGCCAATTAGATTTTTAAAAAAAAAATATACAATAAACCAAATGGGTAGTAAAAGGAGCTGTTTGGTTGTTTATTTACAAATCTGCACGTGCTCATTGGTTAATTTAACGCACACTTTCTCTAATCTCCACCCAGACTGACAGCATTTACACCTGCTGATAAAACCCAAAGCGAGTCATGCAAAAAGAGAGCTGGGGAGAGCAACACCAAAGTCCAGCCCTGAATCTGTGAAACGCAGCAAAGTTCAGCGCATGCAGCCGGCAGAGACCTGGCAACAATCCGGGTTTTAATAGCAGCTCCTGTCAAAGTAACACATTAAACAGAAGCCTGTCATTAAACTAGAAACCCACTCAGACAGGAACAAACTATTCAGTCAGATTTTAGTGTGGCTGCTAGTGAACAGCGTTGCCACATTATAGCCAAAGGTCAAGTTCAAGGCTGTGGATCTACACTGTATCAATATTCATCAATATAGTTACACAATTTAGAGGTTAAAGACTAACTATTGAACTCTTTGGTTGCCTTTGAAGTTGAACAGAAATAAACACTGACTTTAAAAAACACCACAGTACTGAACTTAATAGCTTCAAACTGATGTTTTCCTGCAATACCAATGATCCTTTCTTATTCTGGCCTTTAAAAATCATTAAATAATTTGAACCTTGGAAAACTTGAGTTTCATATGAAAAGCAAAACTAAGCAAACGCATGCCTAGAAAGTAAGCTCGTTGCAATAAGCAATGAATCAAATAATAATCTAAAAAGAGTTCAAGTGAATTTCCATTCTGATGATTAATGTATTTTGAAAGGCAACTTTATGTACGTTTGTAATCCAGTTTTATTTATGGTTTCAGTTGGTGTGGTTTTTACTTCCTTTGTATTAATCATTTGTTGTTTTATTTTATTTTGAGTATTTAAAATATCTTCCAGTTCCAATGTGGATTGTTTTGTAAGAAATTAAAGTTTACTAGACTATGAGAGGGTGTATTTGCATTATTATCCCATTGATTATGATTATAATAATATACAGACTCTTAAAAAGCTTATTAAAAGAACAGCTCAGCCAGAGTGGTAATTAAGACAAAACTAAAATATATGTATTTTGAATTTCAGATTACAAACTCTTCTTTGTCTGCAAATCTTTTCTACTTTAAGCTCAAGTTGCATTTTTAGCGTCACCTGGTTCAGATTGTGTGAATAAAAATCTACTATATCAATCTATTTCTTAATCCAAAAAAATGATCAGTAGATTGTATTTTTCCTTTGCTACAAATGACTAAATGTTCACTAAAGGAATGCTGACATTGCATTTAAGCAATAAACTCTTTATTTTCTTATCTTTTCAAAAACTAAATTAATTATTTGCATAAATGTGTAAAAAAAAAAGCTTGAGTAGTTAAATAAAAAAATCTACAGAAGGTGCCAATTTGTAATTAACTAATCGTCAGAGTAATCATTTACTATAATAATCGTTTGTTGCAATCCGAGTTAGATTTATAAAAAGAAAAAAAAATTAGAAGGAAAGTTTTGAATAGAAACATGTGGTGATGCAAAGCCAACAGCTGCACAACATCCTGCAACACATTTCCAAAAATTCAGAGCATGGAGAAAAACTTGTGTCTGGAAAACTGGAAAAACTTTATACTACACATAAACCCTGAATACATCCTTTATATATGATAACAATGCAACTTTCTTGCTTCCCTTCATGTTAATCTAATGGTCAAAAGCATCAGATGCAGCAACTTTGTGTTTTAACCAATAAAGATTTGAGAAACGGCGTCATAAATCCAGGAAAACCGAA